GGGACGGGGAGGGGACCCCGGCGTCCAGGCAGGGAACCCCCAGCGCTCCCAGGGACAGGGAGGGGACCCCGGCATCCGGGCAGGGAACCCCAGCGCTGCCAGGGACGGGGAGGGGACCCCGGCGTCCAGGCGACTCACGGGGTCGAAGACCAGCAGGCGGCAGAGCAGGTGAACGGCCTCGTGGGTCGCCTCCCCCGACAGCAGGTGCAGCACGGATAGCGCGGGCTGGGACGGACGGACGGACATGGAGCCTGAGTGGGGCTCCCCTCACCCAGGTCCCCCCAACCACCCCACACCCCCGGCCCAGCCCCCCACTTCCCCCAGCCCCCCGCTTTCCCCATCCCAGCCCCCCCCATCTGAGCCACCAATTCCCTAGCCCAGGCCCCCATGCCCCCAGCCCAGCCCCTGATCTCAGCCCCCCAGCGACCTGGTGGAGCTGTGCAGGCAGAGGGGGCTGCGCAGGGGGAGGCTCACCAAAGAACAGCTCATTGCCCAGCTGGAGGAGGACGATCGGTCGGAGGAGCCGGTCCCTGTCCCTGAGGGAAGCAGCCTGGCAGATGCTAGGCAGGCCCCAGTGTCTGTCCCAGCTGGGAGTGGTCAGCCGGCTGCTGAGGGCTTCCCGAAACCCTCCCTTCCTATGCCTAGGGGAGGGGCTGGGAGGAGCCCAGCAAATACCGTGGGCCCCGTGACCCCCCCGGCCAGCAGGGGATCCTCCCGGCGGAGCTCCCCATCGCTGGAGCTGAGGCGGCTGGAATGGGAGAAGGAGATAAGGCGGAAAGAGCTGGAGCTGAGGCAGCAGGAACTGATGGAGGACCGAGCAGAACGGGAGAAACAGAGACAGCATGAGGAGAACCAGCATCAGCATGAGCTGGAACTGGCCAGGCTGAGGAGCAGCGAGCCCCCGGCTGCGGTGAGCGAGGGGGGACCCAAGACTGCAAAGAGCTTTGATAAGTGCTTCCTGGCCCAGCGTAAGGAGGGGGAGGACATGGATACCTTCCTGACGGCCTTTGAGAATACCTGCGAGCTGCTCCAGGTTGACCCTGCAGACAGGCTCCAGTTTCTCATCCCCTCACTGGACCCCACAGCCAGGGAGGTGTACAGCCGACTGAAAGGGGCGGAGACAGGGGACTACGAACTGTTCAAAAAGGCCCTGCTCCGCGAGTTTGGGCTGACCCCTGAGACGTACCGGAAAAGGTTTCGGAGTCAGCGTAAAACCCGTGAGGTCACATACCTACAACTGGCCAACCGGGCGCAGGGGTATGCCCGCAAGTGGACAGCTGGGGCCCAGATGAAGGAGGACCTGGTTAAACTGATCGTACTAGAGCAACTGTATGAGCGGTGCCCATCCGACCTGAGGCTGTGGTTGAGGGACAAAAAGCCAGAGAACCCGCGACATGCAGGGCGGCTGGACGACGAGTTTGTGGACAGTCGGTCAGGGGGTGCACAGGAGGAGTCCCAAAGGAACAGGCCCGCCATGATGCAGAGAGAGAGTCACCCTGGGACCTCCCATAGGGGAAGCATGGAGAACCCCCTCCCAAGAGGAACATCCGGCATCAGGACCAACCGACCGGCTCGAGGGGACCCACGGGACATGGGCTGCTATCACTGTGGCCAGAGAGGCCACATACGGACCCAATGCCCCAAGCTCAGGGACAGACTGAGCAGACCGAACCCACACAGGGTTGACTGGGTAGAGACCCAGCTGGACGAGGGGCAGAGTTCCCACGCAAAGGGGGCTGGCAGCTTATCAACTGCTCAGGAGAGAGGAGGGCCCCAGGCCAGCTCCTCTGGGGGGCCGGATGCTCCGGACACCAGGTTCTCTGTTTACAGGGTGGGCGCGGGGCTGTCCCTGCGGAGCGAGTGCCTTGTTCCCCTGGAGGTGGATGGGAAGAAAGTCTATGGACACTGGGATACCTACCTGACCCTGACGGGCGTGGGCGGGACCCCATTCAAGGTGCCCATGGTGAGGGTACACCTGAAATGGGGGGCCAAGGAGGGCCCCAAGGACGTGGAGGTACACCCGTATTTGCCCACTGAGGTGTTGATGGGGGGGGACCTGGAGGACTGGCCAAGCAACCCCCAGAATGCACTGGTTGTGACCCGTAGCCAGAGCCGGCGAGGGGCACTACGCCCTGACCTTGGGAAGGATGTCACATCGGAGGCACAGAACCCTACCCTGGTGGGGAGGGAACACCCAAGGACAAGGCTCGGGGGGGCTGTGGCTTCCGACCCAGCTGGCGAGAGGGAGCCGGTCCCCATCCCTTCCCCAGCTGCCGAGTTCCAGGCCGAGTTGCAGAAGGACCCCTCCCTGCGGAAGCTAAGGGACCTGGCCAACCTCAGTGTGGTACAGACCATGATGAGAGGTTGCAAGGAGAGGTTCCTGTGGGAGAAGGGATTCCTATACCGAGAGTGGGCTCCCCCAGGGGAAGTGGAGTCCTGGGGGGTCAGGAGGCAGCTGGTGGTACCCCAGAAGTATCGCCACAAGCTACTGTACCTGGCCCATGACATCCCTCTCGCAGGGCACCAGGGAATCCGGCGCACCAGGCAGAGGCTGCTACAGAACTTTTACTGGCCTGGGGTCTTTACCAACGTCCGACAGTACTGCCGATCTTGTGACCCCTGCCAGAGGGTGGGGAAGGCCCGGGACAAGGGGAAAGCGGCGTTGAGACCTTTGCCCATCATAGAGGAGCCTTTCCAGAAGGTGGCCATGGACATAGTGGGGCCTCTCAGCAAGACGACCCGGTCAGGGAAGAAATACATTCTGGTGGTGGTAGATTTCGCCACCCGCTACCCCGAGGCAGTGCCCTTATCGTCCATCGAGGCAGACACTGTGGCAGATGCGCTGCTGACCATTTTCAGCCGAGTGGGGTTTCCCAAGGAAGTCTTAACGGACCAAGGGTCCAACTTCATGTCGGCCCTACTCCGGTGCTTGTGGGAGAAATGTGGGGTCTGGCACAACTGGGCCTCAGCGTATCACCCCCAATCCAACGGGCTGGTGGAGAGGTTCAACGGGACACTAAAGATGATGCTAAAAACATTTATGAACCAGCACCCGCAGGACTGGGACAAGTACTTACCTCACCTGCTGTTCGCGTACAGGGAGGTACCCCAGGAGTCTACCGGGTTTTTGCCTTTCGAACTGTTATATGGAAGGCGGGTAAGGGGGATGTGGTGTTGGCCGTGTTTGGACACTGGGAGGAGCAGGGAGATGACCCTTTAGTAGATCTATTCCCTGGGACAAGAGCTGGTTCCCCCCTGGAAACAATTCCCCTCTCTGATCAGCTGACCCCGGCCCAGCAAGCTGAGATCGGAGGGGTGCTGCATCTGTACCGACAGCTGTTCTCCAACCAGCCGGGACGCACTAATCTGACTGTCCACCGGGTGCAGACAGGATCGCACTCGCCTATAAAATGCTCCCCCTTCCGAGTCACAGGGAAAACTGCTCAGGACCTGGAAAGAGAGGTCGGGGACATGCTGGCTTTGGGGCTGATCCAGCCATCTTCCAGCCCTTGGGCCTCGCCGGTGGTGCTGGTCCCCAAAAAGGACGGGTCGATCCGGTTCTGTGTGGACTACCGGAAGCTCAATGCCATCCCTGTAGCCGATGCCTACCCCATGCCCAGGCCTGACGAGCTCCTAGACAAGCTGGGAGGCGCTCGGTACCTGACCACCATGGATCTTACAAAGGGCTACTGGCAAGTGCCGCTGGATGCAGATGCCAGGCTGAAATCGGCCTTTACCACCCCTCTGAGGCTCTATGAGTTCCTGACCCTGCCTTTCGGCCTCAAGGGAGCGCCGGCCATCTTCCAGCGCCTGGTGGATCAGCTACTGAGGGGGATGGAGAGTTTTGCCGTGGCGTATATTGACGATATCTGCGTCTTTAGCCAGACCTGGGAGGACCACGTGTCCCAGGTTAGACAAGTGCTGGACCGACTCCAGGAGGCTGGGCTGACCGTAAAAGCTGAGAAGTGCAAGGTGGGGATGGCTGAAGTATCCTACCTAGGTCACCGGGTGGGGAGCGGCTGCCTAAAGCCAGAACCAGCCAAAGTGGAGGTGATCAGAGACTGGCCCACTCCGCAAACCAAAAAGCAGGTCCAGGCCTTTATTGGGATGGCGGGGTACTATCGAAGGTTCGTGCCCCACTTTAGCTCCATAGCCGCCCCCATCACTGAGCTGTGCAAGAAGGGGAAGCCAGACAAGGTGGTCTGGACCGAGGAGTGCCAGGACGCTCTCCGGGTGCTGAAGGAGGCTCTGGTCAGTGGCCCAGTTCTGGCAAACCCAGACCTTGACGAGCCCTTTATGGTGTTCACCAATGCCTCAGACACGGGACTGGGGGCGGTGTTAATGCAGGAGGATGAAAAGGGGGAGAGACACCCGATCGTGTACCTGAGCAGGAAGTTGCTACCTCGGGAGCAGAACTACGCGGCCATCGAGAAGGAATGCCTGGCCATGGTGTGGGCCCTCAAGAAACTAGAGCCATCTCTCTTTGGGTGACACTTCACCGTGTACACCGACCACTCTCCCCTGACCTGGCTGCACCAGATGAAAGGAGCCAACGCCAAGCTCCTGAGGTGGAGCCTGCTCCTGCAGGATTATGACATGGACGTGGTCCATGTGAAGGGAAGTGCCAACCTGATAGCGGACGCGTTGTCCCGGAGAGGGGGCCCTGAACTTCCCCAGGTCACTGGTCAGAGTGACCCCGCTCAGTTCAGTCTCCAACGGGGGAGAAATGTGACGGAGCAGGGAGCGGGGCGCATTTGACCTGGGAATGTTGCGGGGGAGTTTTACTCGGACTGTCTGCATGGGGGATGGGATAGCAGGGGGTGACTTTACTTGAGGGACAATACCTGAGGCAGGAGGGGGTTCAGTTTGGAGCTGGCTGGGAACAGGAGGGAGCGCCAGGGTTGGGGTCTGAGCTCCTTGCCCCCCAGAGGGACCTGTCCGAGGGGTCCTGGTTGTACCTACAAGCTCTGGTCTGGACTGTGTTCCTGTCGGCCAATAAACCTTCTGTGTTACTGGCTGGCTGAGAGCCCCCCGTTTCCCCAGCCCCCACTTTCCCCAGCCCCCCACTTCCCCCAGCTTCCCCAATCCCAGCCCCCCACATCTCCTGCCCAGCCCCCCCAATCCCAGCCCCTCATTTGCCCCAGCCCAGCCCCCCGATTCCAGCCCCCCCACTTCCCACAACACCCCTCACACCTTCCCCCAGTCCCCCAGGGTCTCACCGGTTTGTGGGCCCCTCGCAGCACGTGGGCCCGGGCCCCCTCGCAGGCCGAGCGCAGGGCGTGGGGAGGGGGGGTGCCGAGTAGGTCTGTGATCAGGTCCAGCTGCAGGGTGTTGTGGGGGGTGGAGTTAATAGGGGGTGCGAGAGCCTCCCCCCATGCAACCCGCCCCCACTAGCCCCTCCCCCAGATCCCCTCCCCACCCCCTCTAGTCCCTCTCCTTCCACCCAGATCCCCTCCCCACTCCTCCCCTCCCCACCCATCTCCAGTCCATCCCCTCCCCCAGATCCCCTCCCCACTCCTCCCCTTCCCCCCAGATCCCCTCTCCCACCCCTCCAGTTCCTCCCCTCCCTCACTCCTTCCCTCCCTCCCAGATCCCCTCCCCCACCCCTGGCCCCCCACCTGCTGGATGGGGCTGGAGGCCTGGAAGAGGATGCGCCGGCCGAGCAGCTCGGCGAAGATGCAGCCGACGGCCCAGAGGTCGATGGGGGGGCCATAGTGGGGGGTGCCCATGAGGATCTCGGGGGCCCGGTAGTACTGGGTCACCACCTCCTGCGTCATGGGCTGCCCCTCATCCGGCTCCTCCAGCCGCGCCAGCCCGAAGTCGCAGATCTGCCGCGGGGAGGGGGTGAGCCCGGACGCCTGGGTCCCCTGCCCACCCGCCTGGGTTCTCCTGCCCCGCCTGCCCGCCTGGGTCCCCTCACCCACCCACCTGGGTCCCCTGCCTGGCCCATCCTGCCCGCCTGGGTCCTCTCACCCGGATGCCTGGGTCCCCCGCCTGCCCGCCTGGGTCCCCTCACCCGGACGCATGGGTGCCCTGCCCATCCCAGTTTCTGGGGAGCATTGCAGGGCCCCCTAGTGGAACAGTCCAGACGCCCAGGTCCCTTTCCCTGTCCCGGTGTATGGGAGCCATCCCGGACGCCTGGGTCCCTTTCCCTGTCCCGGCAGAGCTCTGGGGGCAGGGCTGGGCTAGCAGGGGGCTGCAGGTCTCACCTTGAGGACGCAGTTGCTGTTCACCAGCAGGTTCCCCGGCTTGATGTCCCGATGGAGCACGCCGGCCGAGTGCAAATATTTCAGCCCTGCGGGGGGGGGGGCAGCGTGGGGGGGGGCTGGGATTGGGACCCCCCAATCTGCCCTTCTCCCTGCTCAGGGATCCCCCCAGGATCCCTCCCCCCCCCCGGTGCCAAGATAAGCGGGGGAGGGGGGCAGGGGCCGAGAAGGGGCCAGTGAGTATGGGGGGGATGCAGGGTGGCCAGGGGAGGGGAGTGCACTGGGGATGGTGTATTGGGGTGGCTGAGGATGGATATTTGGGGGGCCCTGAGGATTGGGAGGTTTCGGGGGGCTGTGGGGATTGGGTGAGACAGTTGAG